CTCACTTCCCCATTATGTCCATTTCTTTCTATTGTTTTAGCTTACATTTCAGTGATTTAAATTTTTGTTTCATGTCAAATCCTAATTTTTTTTAGATAAAATTTGCCAGAGGGCATGTGTACTCACTGGAGACAGAGAGGAAAAGTGAGAAAGCACTCCCCAAGGGAGGTGTAATGCAGCAATCCCTTCTCCTGTTTCTCCTTTGGGGATTTTGGGCACACATGCACATATGCCCAATGTGTTTCTCAGGCTACTGGGTCCAGGACTTGAACTGCATAGCTGGCCATTGGGATCCAGATGCCTTAACCAGCATGCCACCAGCTGGCCCCAAACCCAGTTTTATCTGAATAAAAAAGGGTAAAGGGGATAAATGAAATAGAAAAACAAAAGCATGATTTTCCTTGGTGTTGTCCCTGGAAGCCTCATTCTTATAAGAGTCTTGCTTATTTACTCCTTTTTTTTTTTGAGAGGTTTTTTACTATAGGACATGTGCATTTGCCAGAAAGACCGAAAGAAAGAGAAATCACCCCCTGGGAGAATGGCCACACTGCAATCTCTTCTCCATTCTCTTGGAATCTTGGGCACACACACACACATACAGCGTGAGTTTAAGCCACTGAGTCTGGGACTCAAACCACAGTTGACTACATGGGTGTCCATTAAGCTAACTGCGGGTCCTGAGAGTCCTGCTTATGAAATTATTTAAAAGCTAGTTATAACATCTGTTACAAAGTTACACATCTTTGGATGGCTTTTTTTGAAATATTTCCTAAGTGTTTACACAGGCTCTAAATGGAAAAGGCCTTTTTAAAAAGTTAGAAACGAAGAATAAAAAGATGGGTAGATTTTATTACATAAAAATATAAACTTCAGGGGCCTGATAGTGGTGCAGTGGTGAGATGTGAGGCAGACCCACATGGGAAGGTTACCAGTTCACATCCAAAGACTTCCCCGAGTTCACCAGGCACACATGTCCCATAATGTGGGGCTGGGTGAGATGGGAGGAGTGGTGGGGTGGACTGCAGTGTCCAGATCCTGTTGGGGGTGCTATCTCTCTTTTTCTGTATCTCAGGGAAGAAACAAGTAAAACACACAAAATTTAAAAACATACATTTCTTGGTGCCAGACAGTGGCACAGATAAGGCGTGGTGCTTTGTGAGGTGGACCTACTTGGCAAAGTTGCTGGTTTGTATTTGGAGACCTTCCTGAGAATGGCAGCCATACATGTGCCCATGATCCTGCCTGGCTGAGGCTGGAGAGTGGATCATGGCATCAGTGTGGGGGTGCTGTCTCTCTGTCTGTTTCTTTCTCTGTCACTCATGAAATGAAAGATAAACTTTTTGAAAAAGCCAGCAGGTGGTATGGTGGTTAAGGTGCTCAACTCCTACATAACAGGCCATGGTTCAAGTCCTAAACCTGGAGGCTTGCTTTCTCTCTCTCTCTCATCAAATTAAGATAAATAGATAGGGGCCAGCAGGTGGCATGGTGGTAAAGGGCACTGGACTCCCATATGGCCGACTGGTTCAAGTCCCAGACCTGGCGGCTTGCTTTCTCACTTTCTCTCTCTCTCTCTCTCTCTGTCTGTCTCTGTCTCTGGTCAAATTAAAATAAATAAATAAAGTTAGATAAAAGAATTCTTTTAAAAATATAAATAGATAAAATTAAATCTAAAAAATTATATATAATTAAAATTATATATATACACACATATGTGTGTATATATACACATATATACATACATATATACACATATATGTATATATGTATGTGTGTATATATGTATGTGTATATATATGTATGTGTATGGATGTATAGCTGGCCCCATGGCCTTGTGGCTAAGGGAGCTGGATCCCACATAACCAAACAGAATTTGAATCTTGGTCCTGGCAGTTTGAAAAACATACTGAACATCTTCTGTGTGAGTGTGCCCCAAATTCTAATGGGATGGAAAATGGAAGAAATGGATTGCAGCCTGACCACACCCCTTTAGGGGTGCTTTCTCTCTGACTCTCTGTCTCTGGCAAGCGCACATGCTCTCTGGAAAATAAATTAAAAAATAAAAATAAAAATCACCAATAACATATAAAAGGACAGTTTGCCCTTTTTTTGGGGGGAGGGGGGCAGCAAATGCTTAAAAATTAATACCCAGGATTGGCAATAGTATGGGGAAAACTGTCTTTTACTCCTGGTGGTTAGAGTGTAAATTGGTAAAATTCTTTTAGGATAGCTTGGCACTAACTCTCTAAAAATGTACTTATCATTGACTCAGTAATTTTACTTCTGGTATAAATCTCAGTAAAATAGTAGTCAGAAAGTTATACAAATATAGTCATCATGATATTCATAATAAAAATTGCTAACAGTTGTGTTCAGCATATATCCTAAGCAAATCACCTTAACCATTTTATTCATATTTTAATAATGAGGGTATTCAGGAGCCATGAGAAAATAGAAGTTAATCATGCATTCTGCTTCTAGTGAGAAAATAGAAGTTAATCATGCATTCTGCCTTTAGAGTTCCACTTCCTCCTCTTTTTTTTTTTTTTTAAGAGGTTTTTGCCTTGGGGTACATGCACTCACCAGAGAGACAGACAGAGACAAGGACAGTGAGAGGGAAGGTGAGAAATCACCCCTGAGGAGGGATAGCCACACCACAATTCCTTCTCTTCCCAGGATTTTGGGCACACATGCACCTAGCATGATTTTTAAACCACTGGATCTGAGACTTGAACCACGGTCGACCATGTGAGAGTCCAGTGACATGACTACTACACCATCTGCTGGCCCCTGGAGTACATGTTCTCTTTTTTTTTAGAATTATTTTATTTAACTTTATTATTTATTTATTATTTTTTAAATTTAACTTTATTTATTTCTTCATTTCTATTTGACCAGAGTAGGGAGGGGGGGAGAGAGAGAGAGAAAGTGAGAAAGCATGCTGCCAAGTCTGGGACTCGAACTGTGGTCAGCCATGTGGGAGTCCAGCGTCCTTAACCACCATGCCACCTACTGGCCTCTTATTTAACTTTATTTACTTATTCATTTATTTTAATTTGACTAGAGAGGGACGGGTTGTGTGTGTGTGAGAGAGAGAAAGTGAGAAAGCAAGTTGCCAAGTCCAGGACTCAAACCACTATCGGTTATGTGGGAGTTCCACGCCCTTAACTACCATGCCACCTGCTGGCCCCGTGGAGTACATGTTCTTAATCGCTGCCCTATATTGTCTTGTCTCCTAAATCAACTGAAATGTTCCATTTAAATGTTTGCCAGTGCAGGACACATTTAATAAGTTATGGTGTGTGGATAAAATGGAATTTTATAAAACTACAAAAAGTTGATGTTGTAAAAAGGGCTCATCTTATACAGCATATGAGCTGACCCCAATTTTCTTTTAAACTTATTTTTACTAAAAAAAAGAAAGTTAAAACTAATATAATATTTATGTCTGGGTATTGGTATTATGTGTAATTTTAGCTGTAGTGGTTAAAAGCATGCACTTTAGAAACAGGAGGACCTGGGTCCCAGTCTCGGTTCTGCTCCTTTCCTTTTCGGTTGCATTCTTTGTTTTGGTTACTCATGCTCTTGGTACCACAATTCTCTCATTTATAAAATGGCAACGAGTGATCTCTCAGGGTGTGTGTGAGAGAGAGAGAGGAGAGGGCAAGAATATCAAATGACATAATTAATGCATTTAACACCTACTACCCTTCCTGGTTAGCACCCAATAAATAGAAATACTATCATTTATTTTGTTGGGGTTTTTTTTTGTTTTTTTGTTTTTTTTGTTTTTGTTTTTTTCACTATAGGGCGTGTGCGCTCGCCAGACAGACAGAGAGAGACAGAGAGACAGAAAGTGAGAGATCACCCCCCAGGGGGGATGGTCATGCCGCAATCACTTCTCCTCCATTCTCCTCTCGGGATCTTGGGCATGCACGCACACGCGCCCGGCGTGGGAATACTATCACTTATTATCATTTTTCTATATTGTCTGAATGTTTTCTGATGATAATACATTGGACAAGCCATAGTGGCACAGGTAGTTGGGCACCACTGCACAATATTGGAGCCGTGTGGAAGGCCCGAGGTTCAGATCCCTGGTCAACCTGACCATGCTGGGCATTCATGGCTAGCTGGAATGATGTGGAGAGATTCATGGTGTGGCAAGGCCGTGTCAAGGGTACCGCTCCCTTTCTTCTGTGAAAGAAATAAGTAAATTTTATCATACTAATAACAATACATTGCTTTTATATTCAGAAAAATAAAGCCATTTATATCTTGGGGAAAAAAAGAAAAGAAAATGCCTCAGGAAGAGAACTCAATACTTAGAAATTGATCCGTTATTTGTTGACCTCAAGAAAACAATAATACTAGATTTGTTTGTACTAGTTTTCTTTTTAATTAATTAATTAATTAATTTTTAAATTTTATTTTAATTTGACCACCAATTGGCAGAATCAGAGAGAGAGAGGGAAAGTGAAAAAGCAAACTGCCCTGTCAGGGACTTGAACCATCGTTGGCCATGTGGGAGTCCAGCACACTTAACCATACCATCTGCTGACCCCTGTACTAGTTTTCAAAAATAATGACAAAGAATTTAAATCTACATAAACAACGTTAGTGCCCTATGACATCTGACCTGCTGGGCAGAGACACACAGAGCTGAGTCTGTAATGACAGTGGGGAACCATCAGAAGACACTCTGGCACTGCCGCCTTGATTAGGCTTTTGCAGTCTAGGGGGTCCTGCCAACATCTCGACAGTGCTCCATGTCCCAGTAAGGACTTTGGGGGTCCTGAAAACTGCTCTTACAGCCAGAGGTAAACTTGGTTCCTGGTTTATGTGTCTGTCTCCACATGGACATTTTTCTGTGTTCTTTGCTGTATTTTTCATCTTCCACTTGTCATGTATGACCATGAAAACATTAAGTGTGGAATATAAATTTATATAAATATATATATTATAGAAAAAGTTAATTTTTCAAAATCATGTATTTATTACAGATTTTACATCCTGATGTCCAAACTCTAGACCTACGAAGCTGTGATATTTCAGATAGTGCTCTCCTGCATTTGTGCAACTGCAAGAAACTGAAGAAATTAAATTTAAGTTTCTCAAAAGAAAACAGAATTTCCATAACTTCAGAAGGTACGTTCAGTAACAATAAACTGGGAGATTACTACTCACCATTAGGTATAATTTTGGAGCAAATAAGGGGAAAATATGTCCCAAAAAAGCACAAAGATGTCAAAGAGGTAGAAATTATATTTATCAAAAATATTCAGATTAAGAAAAATAATTCAAATTAGAATTTTTGCTTATAACCAGTGCTGAATGTTAAGAAATACATTGGTTGGGACTAGCACATGGCTGACCATGGTTTGAGTCCCAGACCTGGAGGCTTGAAACTCACACTGTGCATGTGTACGTGCATGCCCAAAATCCTGAGAGGAAAATGGAGGAGAAGGAATTGTGGGGCGGTCATCCTCCCTGGGGGGTGATTTCTTGCTTTGTCTCTCTCTCTCTCTCTCTTTCTCTCCAGTGAGCACCCTATAGCAAAAAATCTCTCTAGAAAGAAAAACAAATAAATACATTGATGGGACCAGCAGTTAGCATAATGGCTATGTCACTGGACTCCCATGTAGTCGACCACGGTTTGAGTCCCGGACCCAGTGGCTTAAACTCATGCCAGGTGTGTGTGCATGCGTGCCCAAGATCCCGAGAGGAGAATTGAGGAGAAGGGATTGCAGCGTAGCCATTCCCCCTGGGGATGATTTCTCACTTTCTGTCTCTCTGTCTATCTGGAGAGTGCACGCGCCCTATAGCAAAAACCTGTCCAAAATAAATAAATACATACATACATACATTGGTTAAGTCACTGTCTTGTATTTAAGCATCTTAAAATAAGCAAGGATTTACATCTCTGCATTTTAAATACTTTGCCTGGTATGGTAGAATAAGAAATGGCCAGTTAAGACGTTGTAAGGGTTTTTTTTGATATAATGTTACAGCAGAATTCATCATCATCAGGGTTAAATTAATTACCAGGCATTCTAGAATCAGTCTGTGCAGTGCACAGGTTTTTTTGCCTTTTGGGGGATTTTTTTGGTTTTGTTTTTGAGTTTGTCACAGGGTGTGTGCACTCGCCAGAGAAGGTTGAGGTGGAGGGTGAGAAAGCATCCTCCAAGGGGAATGGCCATGCTGCAGTCCCTTCTCCATTTTCCTCTTGGGATATTAGGCATGCACCCATTCCTGGCATGTTTTTCAAGCCTCTGGATCTGGGATTTCAGCCACGCAGGTGACCATGTGGGATCCAGGCACCTTAGTCACTCTGCCACTAGCTAGCCTGTGATGCATGTTTTTTTTTTTTTTCTTTTTTTTTTTAATAGTACAAACTCCATTTTCCAGTGTCACTACTATAGGAATCAGTGGATTTTTACCTTTCTTATGCAGTATAGATTTTTTTCTTCAGAAAGGATCTGTGCCTCCCCGCCCCCAGTTTCTCTGGCAGCCATTTCTATGAATAATCGAGAGTGAGAGGGAGAAAAGTTTATTTAGCTGTGTTCAAGCACAAGGAGTGGCCCACAACTAACAAACCCACAATAAACTAGAACGGAAATTTCCAGCAGGTTATTTACCATTACACTTCTCATTTATCCATTGTCACCTAAACTAATTTAGCCAGTTCAGTGTCACTCTTACCCTCAGGATTTTCCCAAAATCGTTCTGTGCATCTTTTCCTTTCACATGATGTTTATCACCCTGTTTCTGTTCTTAGGGCAACACTGAATCTGTTAACTCGGCCTTGTGACATACACAGATAGATTAACAATGTATTTCATTTAGGGACCAGCAGTTGGTGTAATGGCTATGCTGCTGGACTCCTATGTAGTCGACTGTGGTTTGAGTCCTGGACCTGGTGATTTAACCTCTCACTGGGCATGTGTGTGTGTGTGCCCAAGATCCTGAGAAGAGAAGGGATTGTGGCGTGGCCATCCCCCCTGGGAGATGATTTCTCGCTTTCTGTCTTTCTGGCGAGCGCATACTCCCTATAACAAAAACCTCTCCAGAAAAAAAACCATATTTCTTTTAAGTCTCTGTTTAACAAAACAATCTAAACATCTAGGAGGAACTATTATGGTAAACAAAACATTATCACAGTTTTCCCAATTTATCCTGTTACATGATGTCCCTTTAATAAACATTCTCATCTGAGATCCCCGTCCTAAATACATTTTTGTGACTGTGGTCTAAAGCAAGCAGCTTAAGTTTTCTCTTGTAAGCAATCAGGGTTATGACCTTATTTGTTATAATAGTTACAGATTACATTAGTTACAGAAGCTACAAGCACCAGTTAACCCTTACAGTATAATATAAAAAAGAGGGGAAAAAAAACATATTAAAAACAGGAATGGGGGCCAGCAGGTGACATGGTTGACCATGGTTCAAGTCCAAGACCCAGTGGTTTGAAAATCATATCAGGCATGTGTTCGTGTGTGCCCAAAATCCCTAGAGGAATATGAAGAAGGTGTTGTGGCGTGGCCATCCCAAACAGGGTTAAAAATTGTTTGACTTTTCCTGTTGTAAGTTGGCTGAACTTTGCAATCCTCTTGGCTAGCAAATTAGGATATTTATAATATTACAAATAAATATACATTTGGAAATTTTACATAAATAGTAATCCACTAATAAGACTTCTCCACCAAAAATATGTTTTTCAACTAACATACTTTTGAGAGCAAATGTGTGGGTTTTTTCTCCACAAAGCCATTGTTCAACTCTGCAGATAGCAGCTGAATATTCTCAGACGCCAGTCACAAGTCCCGGCCTCTGGCACTTCTGCCTGACCAGCTATAAATTGCGGTTCTCACAACCTCTTCAGGTTCAAAATTGGTAGCGTGATTTACAGAACTCAGGGAAAACAATTTACTTACATTTGCCAGTTTACTGTAAAAGATACTATAAACGATACAGAAGAATGGTTTATGGGATAAGTCCTGGACGGGTACCAAGCACGCAAGCTTCTGTCCCCGTTGAATTGAATTGCACCGCCCTTGTGGTGTGTGGATGCTTTCACCTTTCCAGAAGCTCCTCACATGTCCTTGAGCAAGAGTTTTTATAGAGCTAAGTCCCCACTCCACCACTACTTCCTAGAGATTGGTGAGTGAGGCTGAAAGTTCTCACCCTCTCATCATTATTCTTTCTGAAGACTGGCCCTATCCTGAGAATATGTAGTGGGCCCCACTTCGTTAGCATAAACTCGAGAACGATCAGAAATAGCTCATTATGAATAACAGGAGATTCCTCTATCAGGAAATGTCAAGGGTTCTTTTGAGCTCTGTGCCAGGACAAAGACCAACGTATTGCGTATTTTTGCACAGTATCTGTGCTGGACACTGAATATAAGTAAGCATTCTTTATTAAATTATGGAAAACAATCAAAATGACCTGCCAATTGTCAACCTGAAAGGAAGACTAAGATATAATAATTTAAATAAAAGTGGTTTATTTGTGCCAAGACTTTAGACAAACTACCTAGATGGACAAAATCTGGTTCCCTGGACATGTGGCCACAGAAGGGACAGCAGAGAAGGTGGTTTGTACAAGAAGGGCAGTAGAGAGGAGGTTACAGGTTGCATACCAATGGTGCCTGATCGTGGGGTGTGCGGGCCCAACACCAGCTCCGGATTCAGGTGAGATGTCCAGGCTCTTGTCCCACACTCACAAGGAATCAGAGACACGGACAAATGAAGGGGTAGCCAAGAGAGATTAGTAAGAAAGAAAGAGAAGGAGGGCCAGCAGATGACACGTGGTTCAAGTCCCGGTCCTGGCAGCTTGTTTACTCACTTTCCCTCTCTCTCTCTTTCTCTGTCCCTCTCTGGTCAAATTAAAATAAATAAATAAAGTTAAATAAAATAATTCTTAAAAAAAGTAAAAGGAAAGGAAAGAAAAAGAGAGGGAAGAACAGAACTCCCAAGCAAGGAGAAGTCCCAGAAATGGGTTGCAGAAAATGAGCTGGGATGAGAGGTTCTTTTGTTTTGTTTTGTTTTTAGAGAGAGTATAGGGTGTATGCACTTGCCAGAGAGACAGAGGGAGGTAGAGAGACAGAAAGCAAAAATCACTCCCCCATCACGATCCCTTCTCCACTCTCCTCTCAGGACTTTGGACATGCATACACACGTGCCCAGCATGAGTTTTAAACTGCCGAGTCTGGGACTTGAACCATGGTTGACTACATGAAAGTCCACTGATATAACCATGGCTGACTACAGAAATCCCACATAGCTGACTACAGTTTAAATTCTGGGAATGCTCCCAATGCTTGGAAAATATGCCAGGTACATGTGCCTGCATGCACAAAATCCTGACAGGGTGGAGAAGTGGAGGAGAACGGATTGCAGCATGACCACACCCCGCAGGAGAGTACTTTCTCCCTCTGTCTCTCTGGCAAGTGTGCGTGCCTTCTGGCAGTTAAGAAAGTAAAATAACACAGGCAACTGATCGACTATCTTTACATCATAAACTCAAGAATACTGGGAAGAAATTTGGGGGTCACATTGTAAAATCTACAGTCCTTTATAGCACCCCAGTTTCTTAATGTAAACCAAAACATATTTTTAAAGGGATAATTCCGAGAGGTGTGAGGTGTAACCACATTCTCAGGCATTTGCTTTCCTGAGGCCTTTAAAATTTAGACGAACCTTGTCCACAGATGGCTTTGGACTGCTTTTTCTATCACACCATGAATTTACCGTATTTTCTGTATTTTTCCCATGAAGGAATCTTTTTAACACTACTACAGTGTTTGTCCAGGACTGAAGTGTTCGGGATCCCTAAAGCACACCTTTATTTATGTAGGATAGTGTCATATGCTAGTCTCCAGTATGCTCAGGATGTTTCCAGTTTAATTAGACATAAAGACTTCTCTCTTGACACAAAATAAAATGTAAGATGGTGGGGGAGGACCAACAGGTGGCGTGGTGGTTGGGGCATTGAACTCTCACAAGGTCAACCACAGTTGGGGTCCTGGACCCAGTGGCTGGAAAATCGAGCCTGGCATATGTGTGTGCTTGCCCAGAATCCCAAGAGGAGAATGGAGCCGGGATTGTGGCGTGGCTATCACTTGTGGTGGTAGGGGGTGTGATTTCCTACTTTCCCTCTTACTGTCTCTCTCTTTTCTCTCCTCTGTGAATGCACATACCTTATGACAAAAAAAATTGGTCCAGACTAACAGGATCATGGTGGTAGAAAGGACATCTCTGTTTGAGAACAGAATCCAAGAGGGGCAGGGCGTCTATGCATAGGTATAGATGTGATTCCTAATGATAGGTGTCAAAACTGTTACTTAAGATATTTGGGAGACCTGTGTATGGCCTGATGGTTAAGAAAGCTAGATCCCGGGACCAGCAGTTAGTGTAATGGCTATGTCGCTGATGTAGCCGACCGTGGTTCAAGTCCTGGACCTGGTGACTTAAACTCACGCTGGGTGTGTGTGCATGTGTGCCCAAGATCCCGAGAGGAGCATGGAGGAGAAGGGCTTGTGGCATGGCCATCCTTCCTGGGGGTTGATTTCTCGCCTTCTATCTCTCTGTCTCTCTCTGTCTTTCTGGCAAGTTCACGCATCCTTATAGCAAAAACCTCTACTTTAAAAAAGAAAGAAAGAAAGAAAGAAAACCAGATCCCACATGGTGTATGGTGTGGCTCCAATTTGGGACCCAATGGCTTGGAAAACATGCCCAGCACGTGTGTAGTGCCCCAAATCCTGACAAAGTCGGAAAATGGAGGAGCAGGACTGTGGTGTGACCACACTTATGGAGGGGGTGCTTTTCCCCTCTCCCTCTCCCTGTCTCTCTCTGGCAAGTGCATGCACTCCTAGAAAAATTAAAAAGGAAAAAAATTGGAGCAATTTAACTTTTGATTTCCCTTTAGAGTTTACAAGAAATTTATTACTTTAAAACTTTTGTTTTGGGGCTGGCAGATGGCATGGTGGTTAAAGGCACTAGACCCCCACATGGCGGACCATGGTTCAAGTCCTGGACCTGGTGGCTTGCTTTCTCTCTTTTTCCTCTCTCTCTTTCTCTCTCTCTCTCTCTCACTGTCTGGTCAAATTAAAATAAATAAATAATAATAATAAATTATTAAAAAAAACCTTTTGTTTTAACCAAAAGGAGCACCATCAACTGTTTAATTACCTAATTTCATTCTGAATGACTTTGGCTGTTTCCTAAAAGCAAATCTACTTGTGAACAATAAAGACTTGTCATTTCTTGCAGCTATTTGGAAAAATCCATGGCAGGCTGTGTAGCAAATTCCTGAAACACTCCAAATGAGTTCTGAATAATGACATCACTGGAAAATAAGCATATTCTTGCAGGTGGACTACTTTGAAAAAGATTAACGTACAGTTCATGATTGCTCAAGTGGAAATCAGTCATATGGTATCTATTACGTATATGTGTACACACACACACACACGTGAATAGCTCGTTGATACATAACTCTGTTTTCCCAGGAATAAAAGCTGTGGCTTCATCTTGTCCAAACCTACATGAAGCTTCTTTGAAAAGATGCTGCCACGTCACTGATGAAGGAGTCCTTGCCCTCGCTCGCAATTGCCAGCTGCTCAAGATCATCGATTTGGGCGGCTGCTCGAGTATCACTGATGTGTCTTTGCATGCGTTAGGAGAAAGCTGCCCATTTTTGCAGTGCGTTGACTTTTCAGCTACTCAGGTAAATAAAATACAGCCTTGAGACAGAGTAGACTGTGTGCCTAGTGCATTTCATAACTAATGGGAAGAACATAATTCTTGTTGTTGAAATTTACTTATTTATTTATTTTGCTGCTATGGTGACTTTTTTTTTATTTGTAATATTTTTTATTTATTAATTTTAATTATTATTTATACAGTTAATCGCTATACATCATTTAGATTGTAAAGAGACTTTGCCCAGTGTGACACACACCTCAGTCCAGCCCAGCTGCGAACATACACACATCCTCATCAACAAATAATAAACCATATCTGCATCCCACAAATGCCTTACCTCTCCAGTTGTCGAAATTATTGATCACTTCTTGCTTTCAGTAGTTAAATAAATGCAATATAGGTTGGCATATTTCCCTCGATTATTTGAAGTATGTCTGGTTAAATCACATGTTTGCTGAATGGGAGGCAATAAAACTGTATCTAAATGATAAATACATTTTAGAACATTCTACTTCCATCATTTTCATTTATGGGCTATGTTTCGTCTTCCCTTTGCTTAGGTATCTGACAATGGTGTGGTTGCTCTCGTTAGTGGACCTTGTGCCAAGAAACTAGAGGTAAGTTACAAATATCTATAAAGATGATGGTAATTACATTTTTATATTGTTCTCAGAAATTATTTTTAAACATCGATTAGACAACCAGTGCCTTATCAATTAGGCATTTCATGTTTTTTTTCCCCTCCACCTCTTTATTCCCAAAGTACAGAAAAACTAGTAAAGTTAAGAGATAAAATAAATGTGCTTTAAAATAGACCCATTTTACTTCCAATGAAAGTTGTTCCTTTATTTCTAGAAGTTTTAGATTCTAACAAATTCAAAAGGTCTTTTTTTTTTTTTTTAACATTTATTTATTTATTTACCTCTTTATTTGTTGTGATTTTCAAGCCACCAGGTTCAGGGTCGACCATGTGGAAATTCAGCACCCTTAACCACCATGCTACCTGCTGGGCCCTGAATATAGTCATAATATGAATAAAGACTTGTGAGCATTTATCAGTGTGAAGTTATAATCTTTGGAGTTCCATGTCTGACTGATATTTTTAACAGGACTACTAATTCTCTCACCATATTATTTTTCTTGATAGTTACATGGTACAACCATTTAAAAAGATCTTAAATTTAGTGTTCAATTCTTGGGATCATTTAATTGTTAAAAGAAAAAATCTGAGGCAAATGAAATTTTTTAAATAATTTATTTAATTTTATTTATTATTTTATTTTAAATTTGCTATAGGACACATATGCTCACCAGAGAGAGAAAAGTGAGAAAGCAAGCCACCAGATTCAGGACTCAGACTATGGTTGGCCTTGTGAGAACCCAGAGCCTTAACCACCACACCACCTGCTGGCCCTCGCACAATAAAATTTTAAAGAGATTACTTGAGTAAGAAGCAATTCATGAATTGGAGGAACACCAGACTAAAAGAAGTTTAGCATTCTGATGACAAAATTTCAGAGTATAATATTTACTGGGAAAATGCCCAAGGAAAAAATTAGTTTTTGGTTTGCAATTACAAAATTGCCTTATGCTTTAGGTACCTTGTTGGTAATGTCTAGCCATGTAATCATATGTTAGTTGCATGTTTCTCATTGGCTGGGGTTAGACTTTAATTTTGTCTAGCACAAGCATTTATCAAAAATGACCCAGATTGGGGCCCGCAAATGGCATGATTGTTAAGGGCACTGGACTCCCACGTGGCTGACTGTAGTTCGAGTCCTGGACCTGGCAGCTTCCTTTCTCACTTTCCCTCTCTCTCAAGTTCTGTCCCTCTCTGGTCAAATTAAAATAAATAAATAAATAAATAAATATAGTTCAATAAAATAATTCCTTTAAAAAAAATGTTTTAAAAATGACCTGGATTGGGACCAGCAGGTGGCATAGTGGCTAAGGCGCTGGACACTCCCACATAGCCGACCACGGTTTGAGTCCCAGACCTGGTGGCTTGCTTTCTCACTTTCTCTCTCTCTCTCTGTTTCTCTCTGGTCAAATTAAAATAAATGAATAAATAAATAAAATTAAATAAATATTTTAAAAAAAGAAATGACCCGGATTAAGTTGACCTAAGCTAAGTATCACTATGTTTGCAACTTTAGTAAGTTTAAGGCTGGTTTTTGTTTTTGTTTTTAAGAATTATGGGACAAGCAGTTAGCGTAATGGCTATGTCACTGGAATCCCATGTAGTCGACCTCGGTTCAAGTCTCGGACCCGGTGGCTTAAAAATCATGCCAGGCATGTGTGCGTGCGTGCCCAAGATCCCGAGAGGAGAATGGAAGAGAAGGGATTTTGGCATGGCCATCCCTCCTGGAGGGTGATTTCTCACTTTCTCTCTCTCTTTCTCTTTCTGTCTGGTGAGCGCACATGCCCTATGGCAAAAACCTCTCAAAAATTATTTATTTAATTTTATTTATCATTGTTATTTTTTAATTTGACCAGAAAGAAAGGGAAAGTAAAAAAGCAAGCTGCCAAATTCGGGACTTGAACTGGGGTTAACATGTAGGAGTTCAGCACCTTATCCTCCATACCACCTACCAGCCCCCATTAAGGCTGTTTTAAAAGCCTTTGATTTTGTTGGCTCAGAGAATTCTTCAGGCCCACTTTCCATTTTTAAAAATTTGCATTAGCATACCTATCTATAACCTGTTTTGTGTGTGTGTATGTGTGTTTAAGAGATTTTTGCTGTAGTTACCCTACATGTACTCTCCAGAGAGACAGAGAGAGAGAAAGTAAGAAATAATCCCCCAGGAGGGATGGCCACACCATAATCCCTTCTCCATTCTCTTCTCAAGATTTGGAGCATGCATATACACTATACACATGGTGTGAGGTTTTAAGCCACCAGGTCCAGGACTCAAACCATGGTTGACTACGTGGGAGTACAGCAATGTAACCATTATGTCATCAGCTGGTCGCTATAACCTGCTTTTGACATAATAAACCTTTGGGGTTGGTTGAGTTGTCCATTAGTTAAGTGCTATGCAGAGGAAGACAGATCCCACATGGCTGATCCCATGCGAATCTCCCAGCTGCCAAAACACAGTAGGCTCAGGATCCTGGCAGGATGGAGAATTGGAGGAAGAGGAATTGTGATGTGATTAGGCCCTGTTGAAAATTGTTGGGACCAGCAGTTGCGTAATGGCTATGTCATCAGACTCCCATGTAGTCAACCGTGGTTCGAGTCCCGGACCCAGTGGCTTAAACTCACGCACGCTGGGCACGTGTGCATGTGTGCCCAAGATCCCGAGAGGAGAATGGAGGAGAAGTTGCAGCGTGACCATCCCCCCTGGGGGGGGTGATTTCTCACTTTCTGTCTCTCTGTCTCTCTCTCTCTGGTGAGCGCATGCACCCTATAGCAAAAACCTCTCCAAAAAAAAAAATCGTTTTCTCTCTCTCTCTCCACACACACACACACACACACACACACACACACACACACACACACAAACACACACACCCTCTGACATAAAAAAAATTTTTTTAATTAAAAAAAAAGAACAAGGGAACCAGCAGTTAGCGTAATGGCTATGTCGCTGGACTCCCACGTAGTCGACCGCGGTTCGTGTCCTGGACCCGGTGGCTTAAAACTCACGCCAGGCGCATGTGCGTGCGTGCCCAAGATCCCAAGAGGAGAAAGGAGGAGAAGGAATTGCGGCGTGACCATCCCCTCTGGGGGGTGATTTCTCGCTTTCTGTCTCTCTGTCTGTCTGACGAGCGCACGCGCCCTATAGCAAAAACCTCTCCAAAAAAAAAAAAAAAGAAAAAGAAAAAGAATAAACCTGGGCTCGCTCAGGGCCGGGGCGTTCTCCATCAGAGATGTCCGGTCCGCCCCAGCCCTGCTTTAAAAAAAAAAAAAAAAGAACAAAAAGAAATTTAAAAAAGAAGTCTTTTCTCCTAGAATTTTTGTCTTTTCCTTTCCAAGTTGAGTGATTTGGGGTGTGTGTGTGTGTGTGTGTGTGTGTGTGTCTTTTGTCAGTTTTGTTTTTGTTTCATATTTACTCTCATGCTTTTTAACAGTAAGCCACATCAAGTCCATAGAAGTAAGCAGTCTGTTGTTAAGTTATAAATGTTAGTAGTAAAACCTATTGTAATAAAATGACAGGGCCATGTTTTTGCCAAAATACTTCTTGAATCATTGCTTGAATTATTACTTTTTTGTGTTATTTGTACATTTGAGTCTTACTTGTCTGGTTAACATATAGTTATTTCTTTTTAAAATTTTTTGAGAGATTTTTGCTGTAGGACATGTGCTCGCCAGAGAGACAAAGAAATGGGAAATGAGAAATCACCCCCTCCCCCAGGGGAATGGCCACACCACAATCCCTTTTCCTCCATTCTCCTCTCAGGATTTTGGGCACACATGCATGCACGCCCAGTGTGAGTTTTAAGCTGCTGGGTCCAGAACTTGAACCACCATTGACTGTGATAGTCCAATGATACAACCTTTACACCATCTCCTGGTCCCTCTGTTATAATTTTTTTTATTTTTTAATTAAAAAAAGTAATTACCATATTATTCTTGTATTAAGTTCCTAAATTCTAAATTGTACCCTAAACACAAGGGTGAGGGCAATAATTTTTACTAATTTTTTTTCTTTTTGGAGAGATGTTTGCTATAGGGCACTCACCAGAGAGACAGAGAGAGACAGAGAAACAGAAAGTGAGGAAATCACCCCTCCCAGAGGGGATGGCCACGCCACAATCCCTTCCTCTCTATTCTCCTCTTGGGATTTTGGGCACATATGCACATGCAACTGGCGTGAGTTTTAAACTGCCAGGTCCCGAACTTGAAGCCCAGTCTACTATGTGGGAATCCAGTGATGTAACCATTTGCCCCATCTGCTGGTCCTGAATTTAATTCCTTCTTAAACAAAGTGAATATGCTTTAACCTTTGGATTTTTATTATCACAATTTCTGATCCAAATTGAAATAAAGACTTCTAAATAATTTTTTACTGGCTATATTCTTGTAGGTAACAAAGGTATTTCTACCTTTTAATCACATGGTGATCTATGTAGCAGCTTTCTATCTATTTATTTATTTTTAGGTTTTCGCTATAGAGTGCATACACTTGCCAGAGAGACAATCACCCCCTTGGTGAGGGGGACGCCCATGCCACAATCCCTTCTCCTCCATTCTCCTCTTGGGATTTTAGGTACACACGCACATGTGCTCAGCGTGATTTTCAGGCTGCCAGGTCCAGGACTCACACTACTGTTGGTCATGTGGGGTTTAACCACCATGCCACCTGCTGGCCCCAGTCTGTTGCTATTTTAATATGTTCTTTTTAATTTGTCCTATTCTGAAAAATTAAGTTGTCTGTGTTTTTAAATTATTTATAACTTGAAAATAACTTTTATTGGGACCCGGTGGCTTAAACTCATGCCGGTGCATGCATGCCCAAGATCCCGAGAGGAGAATAGAGGAGAAGGGATTGTGGTGTGGCCATCCCCCCGGGGGGTGATTTCTCACTTTCTGTCTCTCTGTCTCTCTCTGTCTGGTGAGCGCACGCACCCTATAGCAAAACCTCT